TATATATATATATATATATATATATATAAGAATATAACTTCTTTGCAGTTTTATTTTAGCTAAATGTTCAGTATTCTAGTTTGACTGTAGTTGAACTACTTAAATTATGAACAGCTTAAAGTAGCTTTCCCAACACTGGTATAAACGATGACGATAGAAACACTGATGAAAGAGCGAAAGCGAATCTCAGGACTTACTGTCCAGCTCGTATTGGGTAAGTGAGGATTCGGTCAGGTTCCTCATGCTGTAGGGGGCTGAAGACGGTAGGGCAGAGGGGAGAGGAGGCAGAGGATGGCAGCGAGGAAGACCAAAGGTAAAGAGGGAGAAGTATAAAGAGAATGTAAGAGAGAGAAACAAGAGCTGTATTAGCACATTAGCTCATGCTAGCAGAAAGGCTGGCAGCTCTACATACTTTGAGAGAGAAACTAACTGCTGAGGAGACAATTAACACAGCCCTCATACACTGTAAAGCTCTTATTGCATGGTAATGAGATGAGCCACTATAGAATCTGCCGTTACAGGGAAACACGAAACAGATGAGTTAGCATTTTTTGCTGAATTAGCTTATCTCTTCATGTTTTTATACATGTAGTACAGTAGAAATTTGGTTTCCAGGGTTAAGGGTTGTTGGCATTAGCCATCAGTCTAATAAATAAATTAATAAAACTGAACAAAATACTCATTTATTTAACAGACATTAACAAAAAGTACCATAGTAGTATCATGTGTTTCTTTTTTTGGCTTGGTACCATGGTACTGCTATTTGTTTTAAGTACATGGAAGTAATACATGAATATGATTGTCATTATAACATGTCAAGTTGTCATATCATACCATGACTGTACCATGGGACAAAATGCCTATAGATACTGCTGTAAATTTTGTAAGGGACTAGATATACAAGTAGATACTAATCTTTGTGATTTATTTGAGTAAGTTGAATGAAGACTCACCTGTGAGCTCGGCCCAGTTGGCAGACGGGCTATTAACTGTGCGCACCGTGAAGCTGCGTAGGCGGTCATAACGCAGTTCTCTGTAGCGTACTCGAAAACCAAGCAAAATACCATTGATCTCCTCCTCAGGGGGCGGCTGGATGGGGTTGAACAGATTATGTCATTATCTCTCATTTGTAAACACAACGCGCAACAACAGATAAACACCCGTGTTCCCTCTCAGAACAGCATAATGAATCGGACCTCACCTTCCAGCGGACCAGCACAGATGTGGTGGTGTGTGGTGTCACAGAGAGGATTGTGGGAGCTTTGTCGGGTGCTAATGGAACACAAACAGACAGTTTGTTCAGTTAATGACTGTGGAGCTGCAAAGACCCTGATAAGAGTGGAATAACCAAGAGTGGAAACCAGTTAATAGTGGTGTAACTGTTAGCAGGGTTCTGGTTAAAAGACAAAGGTCAAGCATGAGGTAACCCTGCAGTTTTTCCCCTTCACTGACTGTGTCCTATTTTGGCCACATTATGATTCATCTCAGGCCTCAGGAACTTGTTCCCCGACAGCATTAAAGCGTTTCGCAGTTGCCCCTACCGTCCTGTAGAGTGGTGATTGCCTCGCTCTCCTCGCTGTACTCGCTGTCCCCAATATCATTAGTGGCTTTCACTCTGAACTGGTAGGAAGTGAAAGGCTTGAGCCTGCGAATTGGAAAAAAGCTAAGTAGGACTGTGGCACCACCAGTTTTGTCCTCTATGACCCCAAAAGTTTAGAAAGTTCGTTACAGACTCAATTTAGGCTTACTTGTCTATGACGTATGAAGAGGCCTCATGGTTGACCGATGCGGAGTGGACGGTCCAATTGCTGTCGGGCAGCTCTCTGTACTGGACGGTGTAGTATCGGATGGGAGACAGACCATCGCTGCCTGGTTCCCATGACAACAGCACACTGCGGGCCTGGACCTCTTCCTGAGGCACAACGGGATGACTTGTGGGCTGAGGGCGTGCTGAGAGGAGATCAGACAAGCAGTTGCAATCAATGAAATGTAGTAAAAAGCACCTGAGCTTGTAAAGAGAGATGAAGCAGTACCTCTTTTCTCTGTAGTGACCACCAGTGCCTCTGCCGCTTCTCCCCAGCCCTTTCGAGTCTGGGCCGTGAGGCGGAATACATAAACACTCTCTGGTTTCAGTCCAGTTGCTGTATACTGTCGTGCACTTGGGTTGAGAACATCAACGTTGGCAGAGGTAATACTAGAAGAGTTCTTTCGGAAAGCAATCTGATATGCTAGATAAGAGACACACATAAACATTTAAATCAGAGGATTCTGAATTTAATCACCTTGTAACTGGTTTTATATGCACTGTTCTGATTGGGATTCGAACTAGTGTAAAACCGGCATGAGGGGTAGACACATTAACAAGGATGCTAAAGACTGCAGCCTCTAGTACCTAAAGACCCAAGCTACAGTACCTAGCCACATTTGATTGTGTGCCTCTTGAGGCCAGGGAAGTTAGATCTACCTGCCCAGTGATGTCTACTAGCTGGACTCTGTAACACCTTCCTAAAACTCACTCCCATCCGGGTCACGGCACCAATATAACTTGTCCTACTTACCACATTCTGGATGGGATTTGAATTGGCACCAAATGACCATGCTAACAAGGATGCTAAAGACCACAGTCCCTTCCGTCAATCCCTAGTGTGCCTCATGAGTGCCAAGGTAGTGAGGTTACCTGCACAACTATCTCTACAATCTGGCCTTACACCTATCCGGGTCACGGCACCAATGAATCTGGTCCTACTCGGACCATTCAAAGCAAGATTTGAACCAGGGACAACTGGCATAGAATGTGAGCATGCTAACAAAGACGTTAAAAAGTAAGTGTAATACAGTACAGAGGCTAGTAATAGTCTAGTTGATGTTCTGGATCACTACTAGTTACTCTTGTTGCAGGGCAAGTCTTGTCACAAGTCTTTGATCATCCATTTAATGTAACACATTCATTGAAGGCTGGTTAATTGCACTAAATTGTAGATATTCTACATAACAGTCATGCTCCAATGATATAGTCCTACTTGATGGGTGGTCTGCACAGTGTGTCATGGATTTTATCATCATATGATAACATTTTTATGATGTTTATGATCATATAGTACAGTATGTCAAGTAGTAAAGAGACTATAAAAATAATTTACCAAGGATAATGCCATTTGGCTGGGCAGGGGGTTGCCAGATCAGTCTTGCATAAAACCTGAAAAGTAGTTAGTTTAAATTGGTGATTTTGGCCTGTCACACCTCACAGGTCTGTATCTAACCCTTATATAATTCAAAAATGTCATAAATGTGACTAATCTGTCATAATACTGTAGCTAATGTAAAATTGTAAATGTTTAGTCATATTCATATCAAACTACTAGCTAAATTTAATGACCAAAAACATATATTCAGCTGTGACCCACATGTTGTGCGCAACCCTGTAGCTGCATGATTTTTCCCTATTACAAAAAAAATTTAACTGCGACACACAGGAAGTGACATAATTTGAACGCTTTCTGCAACGTGATGACAAGAGAAATAAGTCTTCTTATTCCATTTTCTCATTTTTTTCACAAATTGTAGTGTTGATGGCATTTTTCAAATGTAACTATTCAACCCTGTTGCTGTAAAAAAAATTATAATAGATAAACAAATAATTTTCTTTAATTTATGATAAATATGAAATCATCTAAATGATTTACTATTAAATTCAACTTTAAATATGTTGATATAAGATAGTCTCAAGATCCTCACCGCCTTGTAGGGTCCATTCTGTGACTTTGGGGCTGTAGACGCCCTGGCCCGCTCCGTTATAAGCAGCCACCTCAATCTCATAGTTGGTCCAAATGATGGAACGGACAATGATTTATTTTTGTGACATCTATTAGATATGGTATATAAACTCTTATCTTGCATAAAAACTGAAAAGTAGTTAGTTTAAATTGGTGATTTTGGCCTGTCACACCTCACAGGTCTGTATCTAACCCTTATATAATTCAAAAATGTCATAAATGTGACTAATCTGTCATAATACTGTAGCTAATGTAAAATTGTAAATGTTTAGTCATATTCATATCAAACTACTAGCTAAATTTAACGACCAAAAACATATATTCAGCTGTGACCCACATGTTGTGCGCAACCCTGTAGCTGCATGATTTTTCCCTATTACCCAGCGACGCACAGGAAGTGACATAATTTGAACGCTTTCTGCAACGTGATGACAAGAGAAATAAGTCTTCTTATTCCATTTTCTCATTTTTTTCACAAATTGTAGTGTTGATGGCATTTTTCAAATGTAACTATTCAACCCTGTTGCTGTAAAAAAAATTATAATAGATAAACAAATAATTTTCTTTAATTTATGATAAATATGAAATCATCTAAATGATTTACTATTAAATTCAACTTTAAATATGTTGATATAAGATAGTCTCAAGATCCTCACCGCCTTGTAGGGTCCATTCTGTGACTTTGGGGCTGTAGACGCCCTGGCCCGCTCCGTTATAAGCAGCCACCTTTCTAGCTCAAATGTTGTTCAAAAATATGTTTTGCTAACATTCCCATTAACTTAATATTAATATTGAAAATAATATTTTGTATTGTTCTCTGCACTTTTAGAACATCCAGTTTTTGAAATGTCTTTTTCTTGGTTTTGCGAATGCTAAGGGAACATTCTGTTTTATTATTTTGGGAACGTTACTTGTTTTGAATGTTCTCTAAACATTCTAAAACATGTAGTAACATTTAAAAAATGTAGACTAACATCTAACTGTTTTTAGGAAAAACATTTGCTGATCGATGTATAAATAATGTTTTTGTGCAAAATTTTTTTAGAACGTTATTAAAGACCATATAACTTTGAATGAACGTTCTATTAACGTTGCAGAGAGAATTTTGAGAGAACCTTACCATAATGTTCTGAGAACAATCCCTATTAGGATTAGTACATGTGTGACATTGACTATGTATGTGCTGATTATATCTGTGTGTCGTTGTAATGCACGGAGTTGAAGGTGAATAAAGATTAAGAACTTTGATGCTCCATCTCCGAAGCCTGCATTTCTAGCAGAGGCCCTCGAGATATGTGCCTCCTCTCGGCGTGGAGATGATCAAAGACGCCACAGCCAAAATTGGCTAATACCAGAGAGCAAAAAAATCCAGCAAGACTCTTCTTAAATCTATTTAACTTGACATCTTGATATCTCCTGCGTGAGAGGTGCAGTTCTGTGGCTGAGATAAAGCGCAGTGTTTTAGGATCAAAGAAATAGGCGCGGATCCTTGAGCGGCGCAGTGCTGTTATGCCACCCCCACCTCTGCGGATTCCCCGTCTGAACGCACTGAGAAGAATGTCTTCTGATCTGCGCGCATGCAAGTTGCAAAACGAGTGGAAGTTGTTAGCTGAGAGAATAGATCTGGTGCGAGATGAGCTCAGAGTCTGTGGGAATAAACGGATGGCACTGTTTTGCATCAATGCATGAGTTTGGGGTGCATTTGTCAGAATCAAGGAGGTTCATAATGCCTGTTAGCATTCCCATTCATCACAATGGCAGCTGCTCGCTCAGAAAGTATGTGATTTTTAAATCTGCCATCGTTGCTCTAGGGCGATTGGTTTAAATCAATGCAATAACTCACCCATAATAGATAAAAGATGCTAATTTGTCGCCAACTTCTGGTGTAAGTATTTAATTAATTTGTTCAGATTTGTTCACTGAAGATTATTGTTGAACTGATTCAAACGACTTAACTTCTGGAGGTTTGTGTGACACTGAAGACTGGAGTACTGTTCAGCTTTGCTATCACAAAAATAACTCCTACTTGAAATAGTAATAATATTTTACAATAGTACAGTTTTTACTGTATTTTTGATCAAATAAATGCAATCTTGGGCCACATCCACATGAAGCCAGAGCTTTCACTATCCAATCTTTTTTTTCACTCGTCTCAAGAAATATCTGCATACACACGAAACCACGAAACCGACTCAAAACGATGTAGTATACATGCCAGGCCAGTATGTGGCGCTGTAATTCTGCCACAGAGATAAACTACTTGGAGCATGCGCATAAACCTTGCACACTGTATACAACCCCAACACAACAACAAGAAGACGATCATGGAACAATACATTTATTAATCTGTTTTAATGTTAGTTAATAAGAAGACAATCATTCAGTGTTTGTTCATGTTGTTATTGCTGTTACGTGACGTAGCGGTGTCTGACTAGGGGCGAGACGTAGGGTGATGATATCAGTTTCACAAAATATACTTTATCCTATAATTGGCTGTACACTTGAAAACGCAAGGGTGTCGTTTTCAGATTTATCCCCTCTAGGACCCGGTTTAAAAAAATAGCAGTTTCCCACTCCGTCTGGACGAAACGCCGATACGATACAAAATCTTTATGTATGGGCTACAGCTAAACGTGTCTCCGTGTGGACGGAGCATAAGAGACTGTTTGCAGGGTTTGCAGTTTTGCTTGCTAAGCAGTTAAACCTTGAACCTGGTTTTACATATGCTAATTAACATGATAAATTAGATGTCGAATGATGAAACCTCCACAAACAGTTCACTTCCACACCTCTTTGACCACTATTAAGTGTGTTGGAGAACAATGTGGCATTCTCATAAAAACGTGCTGCTCATTTTCGCCCTCAGGGATGTTAGCTCTTGACGGGGCATTGCATCAGCAACACGGTTTTTCCCCTAATATTTTCCCGGTCTGTTTCTTTTAAGTCTGTCGAGGACTTTGGTATCCTGGGCGGCAGATTATTGATTTGCCACAGCTGTGCATGCACAGGATGTTGCAGACGGGCAAAGAATGTTTACTTCCCACATGCTTTCAGATCTCATCCTCAATCATTGATTCGAGCTTGACTTTTCCATTTTAAATCAGCCTCCCTCCCGCTGTAAAAGGCAGCAAACACGCCACACTCTCCAGCTGATCCGAAGAAACTCCAAATGTGACTGTTCTATCAGATTACAAGAATTAAATATCTGCTTCCTTCATAGCAGGATCCCTTAAGACACAAGCAGATATGAATATTAATGTGCAAACACATCATATTCATGCAGAAATGTTGTTTGGGGTTTTCACTGTTTTTGGGGCATCTTTGAGTCAGGATGTCTCAGACGTCACAGGCGTTCCCGTGAGATCTGAGCACGTTTTAAGGCGCGAGTCACTTGGTGCTCTTTGTAATGCTGTAGTAGACAGAGCGGAAAGCAGTTGTACAAAAGCTGCTAAAAATCTCTCAGTGCACGGTTCCATTCCTCACAGCACTGCGGGCTGCAGGCTCCGATTCAGCTGAATAATGCACTACCTCCCTCCTCATGGGGGCTGTAGGTCTGCGAGAAGAAAGTCTTCCCACTTTTGCCAGGCTTTTGTGGTCATTCTTCCACGCCTAAGTGCGATTCTCACAGACATGTATGCGCTAGTCCTCAGGACACCCCAGGAAACCCTGTTCACTGACCCTTTGATGGAAAGCGACAACTGAAATCACTAGCTCCAATCTGATTGGCCGGGATTATTCACTTCTGGAAGTAAAAGCGCAACAGCTTTGCTAGCAGTCTGTCTGTGCAATGAGAAAAACCACTAGATTCGTCCAAGTTTACCAGGTTGGTGGAATCAAATTTATTTTTGATTCTGATCAGAAAAGTATAAAAACGGTTTCAGTATTTTCCATATAACTATTCATGAAGACTGTGTGGCACTATTTAATAAAACATTTTTTTTTTCCATTTTCGGCACCTTTCGTACAGACTACTATGGAATCCCGTTTCCACCACTGAATAAAAAAAGGTCAATGCAACTTTTCATTTCACAATTCTAACTTTTTTTCTCAAAATTGCATGATACAAACTCGCAAATCTGACTTTTTTTCTCATAATTGTGTGATATATAACCTCGAAATTGCAAGTTATAAAGTTAGAATTGCAAGATATAAACTATATTTTATATTCTATACTCTATATTAATATGAAGATATTGTACTTCATAACTTGCAATTGTGAGTTTATTATAAATTCGGAGAAAAAAAAAGTCAGAATTGCGAGATAAAAATTCAGTGGCGGAAATGGGCTTCCATAGACTACAGCCCAAAGAATAGAGTTTAGAATAAAATAAACGTTAACTGAAATAAAACAAAATATATAAAAAAACGTAAACTTATTTTTTTCAGCTAGGCAAGATTTCTCATTTTCATTTAGCTTAACTCAATAAAAAAGTAATAGCAAAGTAATAAAAATAGACTTTTTTTTTATAATACAAATGACAAAAGACAAAATTCTTTAAATATTTAATTAAAAAATCTTTAACTAAAATTTTAATTAAAAATGAAAAATATAAACATAAACCAATTAAAAAAAAAATTCTATAAACAATAATAGCATCTCACTTAGTATAAGGTGGTGGCACTTTTGCCATACATTTGTCGGAACAATAACAAAAACAACAACAACAACAACAAAAGACACACTCAAGTGCTTATGTGAATGGGTTAATAGATACACAAATAATTAAATACAGTTTAAAAGAGTACTTCTACTCTATGTTCACGCACGCTATCAATTTGAGTTTAAACTTTAAAAGCGTAAGTGTTCGTCTGTGCTCAGACACACATTATATGCATTTTACATATATATAAATTTTTCCTCATCAGCATATTATAGTATACTATAATACTATAAATTTGCCCCTAAATGGCATGTAACAAACTGAACTGTGATTGGTAGCTTTCCATGTCATGTAGCTTTTTTTTGTCAAAGCGGGCAGTACTTGACCTGAATAAACTTTGATGAAGACCAGACTTCATGCTATAGTCAAAAAAACTGGCTATGTAAACACTTTCTTCCTCAAATTTTTTTAGGCTTTAAGAAACCGATCATTTTGTTAACACTGAATCTCACAGTTTGACGTCCTAAGCTTCAGGCTTAGCTGTGAGGATAGAAAAGGTTATCCAATGTTTCTCGCTTTTTGAGTCCTACACTCACCGCACCGTCTCCCTGCTGAACTGGCCCTTCCCCACGTCGTTGACGGCACACAGGCGGAACTGGTAAGAACGTGCCGGGATGAGGCCCCCCACAATCACGCTGGAGGCTTCTGGATCAATGTTGGCCAAGAGCACAGTCCAAGGTGCGTCTGTCACAAACAGAGACATCGGGAATGGACTCCAGAGCTGAATGACGAGTGAAGAGTGACAGAAAAATACAGCAGGCCAGAAAACTCACTGTTCTCCGACACCTCCAGGATGTAACGGATGAGCGGGCTGTTCCCGTCAAAGGCCTGGGCCCAGGTCAGGTTGATGGTTCGTCTCTCTGAGCTGCTGAGGGTGGCGATGAGGTTCTCTGGAGCATGAGGCAACTGCCTACAGAGACAGAAAGAGCAAGAGGAAAATAATAAAAATAGATAATTCAAACATTTTACAACAGTTAACACTGAATTTCAACTCAGTTTTAAATATACACTACCATTCAAAATTCATTAAGATTCTTGTCTTTAAAAGCTCACCAAGGCTGCATTTACTTGATTAAAAAATACAGTAAAAACAGCAAAATTATGAAATACTATACTGTTTTCTATTGTAATGTATTCAGTTTTTCTCGATTGCTTAAACACATTTATTGAAATTGTGACTCCTTTTCTCGAAACTCTAAACACAAATCCATAACTTCTCACCCAATTCCCCATACTTCCTATTTTCAGGTCAAAATGAAGCTCTCCACTCGAAACTATTCAATCTTGCTGAAAAAAACAACAACTTTGCCCTCAGACATGACACACAAGCCCTCAGAAACACACACACAACAACATAGTCTTACACACTAATGAGATCAATTCATAACACTGTTGCAAAAACCTTCTTTTGGCAATCAGGTATCATTTTACAGCTCAATGCCTATTACAGTATACAACATAATTAGAGCAGATACATGTTCCAGTAAATATAGCAGATACAGTGAAATTCAACAATAAGCTTTACAGTAAGAAAATATTATTTTCATTACACTGCTGTAAAGAGATCTTACATTACAGTAGATGAAAAGCACTAGAAAGGAAAAGGTCAAATACCAAAGAATTGCATATGAACACAACAGAATATAGAGTCATCTCTTAGTTCTGGAAAAATACAGTACATGTAAGAAGTACTGTACTTGGCTACAAATCCGTTCAGCAGTTATGAGTTTGAGGGGTGTACAACTTGTTCTTCAGTATTTACTGTACATATAAAAGTAAAAGTTCTCTCATCTGAAGTACTGCTACTGTTCTGTCATTATATTTTATCTGTAAGTAGTATTGAAAACCTGTAGATGAGCCTGTAGGCCAGCTGTCCTCATGCACAAGAACATGGTCAACTATAGTGCTGTGTATTTCATCAGGAATAAATGTCCTTTGACCCCGTCCCCTTCAGTTTTCTTTTCCCTTCCTCTTCGTCTCCCACTAGTAGGATTCATTTTCCAAATCACATAATCACCTGTGCTCCTTTTTATATCATCCTGAGATTCTGACTGGTGTGTAATCAGTTTTGCTATTAATGTTCACACATGGATAAATGTGTGCTATTTGTGTTCATTTTGTGATTCTTGAGGTAGTTAAGATTGTGAGTTTGTGTTTTCTAAATGAGAACATGGTTAAACCTGTGCAAAATGATGCCGTTCTTGTGTAGAGTTTAGCTGAAAACACTGAGCAAATTGGAGCGTGTGTGAAAACAGGTGAAATGTGTTAAAAGTTTTGAGAAATGTGTCTTTGTTTTAAGAACTGTATGAATGGTTTGGAAAATTGTACCAAACGAATCAGTTATAGTGTGTTAGCAATTGAGAAAAACTGTATTTACAGTAACTGACAGTATATTCCAATGTGTGTTTACAGTATTTTTTTTTTTACTTTTCTCTTCTAATGCTTTTCATCTACTGTAAGATCTCTTTACAGTAGTGTAATGAAAGTAAACTTTTCTTACAGTTTAATGCTGAATTTGACTATCTGCATCCCTCTATTTATGTCCCTCTATTTTGAATTGATCTCACTAGTGTTCTCTAGGCAGGAAAATAGTCTTTGTATTTAACAGGTTTATGTTTCATCTGAGGCCAAAGTTTGAGTCTGACAAAAGAGAACATGTTTTTGACTAAACTATTTGATTTTGACCTGCAAGTTTGAAGTTTGCACAAGTTGGTATATAGTTTTGAGATTAGCAATCGAGAAAAAAATGTAACCATGTAATGTATTCCTGTGATGCAAAGCTGAATTTTCAGTATCATTACTCCACTCTTCAGTGTCACATGATCCTTCAGAAATC